TATATATATATATATATATATATATATATATATATATATATATATATATATATATATATATATATATATATATATATTATATATATATATATATATATATATCTATCTATATATGTATATATATATGTATATATATATGTATCTATATATGTATATATATATATATATATATATATATATATATATATATATATACTATATATATATATATATATATATATATATATATATATATATATATATATATATATATATATATATATATATATATATATATATATATATATATATATATATATATATTTCGGGGAGAGTTGTCAAAATTGGAACAGCGCTTTAATTGGAACACAACAAAAATTAATGCAATTATTTTTTTCAAAAATAGTTGCATTGATTTTTGAAAAAAAATGAATTATGACTATATTTTACATTTTTTCAGTAAAACGTATTATTTTCTACGCTTTGGCACATTTTGAAAGTTATTCTTCAAAAAATGCGTTTGCACCATTGATTTAAAGTGTTTTTGCATCATTTTTTTTCAGCAATCTAATTTTGTGTTCACATTATATTGATTGCGCTGGGTAAACTATGGTGCTACAGGTTATACCATTTTTTGTGTTTGATTCAATAGGATTTAAAATGCAAAATAACAATATACACTTATCTTATAAGTTGCTGCAAGCATGTTATTGTAGTGATATAACAAATTAGTCAAAAGTTTCCTTGATTGGAACATTGAAGTTTTCCTTACCTAATCGTTAATAAAATCAAAAGGTTGTAAAAGTAGTTCAAGTGCAATTAAAAAAATACTTAGTAACAACCATAAACCTTAAAAATAATACTTTGTTTAGTGATTTTTAATCAATAAATTTAGAGAACCTCATAACAGTTGAAGATATATACAATTTTCTATTTTTAGAATTTAAATTTATCAGGGTAATACTAATCCTATAATAAGTTTTGAATTATGTTTAAATTTTCATTGTAATGATGAAAATCAATTTTTAAAAATTTTTATTGATTATACTGGATTCTTTCTTTTAAAAAAATAACCTGTTCTGATGAAGGAATCAAAGTGTACCAATTTAGGGATCCAGTTGCCTTGATTGAAACAAAATAGTAACTTTTCTAAAAAAATTTTATTTTCAATAACAGTGCAGTTGATGAGGTCAAATTGTGGTTAAAAGTATAGTAGGGATGTCTGTTTGTATTAATCAAATCATAAATGTTTTCATAGTTAAACTATCTTTGGGTAATAAATAATTATTCCTTAAGTGTTCCAATTAAGGAATAATTATTATTATATATATATGTATATATATATATATATATATATATATATATATATATATATATATATATATATATATATATATATATATATATATATATATATATTATATATATATATATATATATATATATATATATATATACAGGGTGTTCAGGATAAATTTGACATATTTATAATTGATTATATTTTTTTGTAGATTAGAGGTATTAACACACACTACAGGTCATTTAAAAGTTTGAACCCTTCTTCATTCATGTACAAGATGTCAGAAAGGATGGATGACTGGAACCCACCTGAATCATGGAAGAGAATAACTTGCATCATGATGATTCGTGCCGGCCATCAAAATAAGGATATTATGACTGCTGCCCAATGCCCCCTGAATACAGTAAAAACAATCAGGTATGAACTAGAGACTTGCAATGGTGACTGTGAGGATGTAGTAAGAAGAAAGATCCCTAGCAGACAATCTGATTGCGTTCGTACAGCAGAATTCCTCGCAGGTGTTGAAGAACCCTGGCATTGGAAACCAGGCTTATTCACGTGAAATTAATGTTGCATCCTCTACTATGAAGCTTGCACTCAATGAAGACCTTCGCTACTACTCATACAAGCGCCACAAAGGTCAGCTATTCACAGAAAAGGCCCGTGAAAAACGTTTGATAAATGCGAAGAAACGTCTAAACAAAGTGAAACATCCTGTAGAACCACAAAAATCTGGTTTTTTTCCGATGAGAAAAACTTTTGCCAGGATCAAAAACACAACACGCAGAATAACAGGTGGCTTGCATGCAGTACAAAGGACATTCCTCGTGTAATGCAGACTAAATTTCCCCAAACTGTGATGGTTTTTGGATGTGTATCCTCTGAAGGCGATGTGATGGCTCCGCATTTTTTCCAAGAGGGCCTCAGGTTGACTTCAGATGGCTACGTGGAGTTGCTGAACACTGTAGTCAAGCCCTGGATAACAAGGGTAGCCAATTGTAGGCCGTATGTATGACAGCAGGATTCGGCCCCTTGCCATACCTCTGTGAAAAGTCAAAAATGGTTGCCTGAAAATTTCTACGACTTCACCAGTCCAAATGTTTGGCCTCCAAACTCCCCAGACCTTAACCCCATGGATTATTTTGTATGGGGCGCAGTTGAAAAAGACACCAATCGCACTTCCAGTAATACGAAAGCCTAGTTAGTGGATAAAATTAAAACAGTTTTTGAGGCCCTTCCCAGGGAGACTGTAGCATTAGCTTGTTCGAAATTCCGAAGCAGGATTGAAGCAGTGATCGATGCTAATGGTGGTTATTTTGAGTGAATTTTGTTCATAGTATTGTAATTTACTATGCCTGTAATTTTTTTCTCAACTCATTAAATTTAATAGATACAAAGAAGATTTTCCTTTTTTTTTCGAAACTGTCAAATTTATTCCGAACACCCTGTATATATATATATATGCTGTTGCCATATCTGGGGCGGATCTTCTAATGATGCCCTTTCTCTTTTAGACAAGGTGCAAAAACGCATTGTAAACATAGTTGGACCTGCTCTTGCAGCCAACCTTCAACCTCTGTCACATCGTCGTAATGTTGCTTCTCTTTCTCTTTTCTACAAATACTATAATGGGCACTGCTCTAAAGATCTAGCGTCTCTTGTGCTATCTACTAAAATTCATTCTCGTATTACTCGTCATTCAATTAAGTCTCATCCTGTTACTGTTACACCTGTTACATCTCATTCTGTTACTGTTCCTAAGTGCTCCAAAAACTCTTATTTGTCTAGTTTTTTTCCTCAAACATCAGTTCTTTGGAATTCGCTTCCTTCATCTTGCTTTCCTGATTTATATAATTTGCAATATTTTAAGTCGTCTGTCAATCGTTATCTTGCTCTAAAATCTTCAAGTTTTCTCTTCCAGTAACTTCCAACATTAATTAGTGGTTGCTTGCAACCTTGTTGGAAGCGAAGATAATTTAAAAAAAAAATATATATATATATATGTATATATATATATATACATACATATATATATATATATATATATATATATATATATATATATATATATATACATACATATATATATATATATATATATATATATATATATATATATATATATATATATATATATATATATATATGTATATATAGGCATACACATTAACTCATAAAATAAATATTGATTGTTAAAAGAAAAACATAAAGGCATTATTTAATATAATTATCAATATTGATAAACTTTTTTTATTTCCTTGACATAGACCACTGTTTAATAAAAGAAAAAATTGTAATTGGAATTTGCTGTTGAATTTTATTACTGCATGTTGTGCTTTTTGAGATAATATTTCATTCAAATTGTGACCTAATCCTTCGGCTACAGCTAAAATGATCCCAGATCTTTCTCTGTTGGATAGATTCAACCTATCAGTCATTAACAAAACTTTAGGATGTTCTAATATCCAAGTTTTTCTGTCTAGTTATAGCACTTTCTTCTACTTTATTAGAAGTTTTATCTTCATCATCAAATTCTGACAATTGTGAAAAATTCTGAAATTGGATCTATTTTTGGTTATATTTTATTTTCTTGATATCTCTTTTTCAATAGCTTTTATTTTTTGTGATTTTTTTTTGCTCTTTTCTTTTTACTTTCAAAGTATAACTCTTATATAACGAACCCATAAATGTTTTTAATTGATGCTGATCTGAGAGAAAGTCTAAACCTGATATTTAAATATCAATGTCACAAAAGGCATATTTTCTAATCAAATCTTCTGTATTTGATGCTGCAATATCAAACAGAGATTTTAAATGTTGAAGGCCACTTGTATTTTTAAATATTATATTTACTTATGTATATATTTACTTATGTATATATGCACTTAAATATTATGTGTATTATGTTGATGTATGTAAGCATGCATTTATATATGGCTACATGCCCTATACTAACCTTAAGAATCTCCATAAATGTATTACTAAAGTGTGGGATAAAATTTAGGTGTCTAGCTATTGTAGTGCAGTCCAGTTGAATCGCAATATTGACTAGTATGACATAGAGTGCAGGCAACAATATCTGTTGTAAAGATACACCAATGAAAAAGGGCATCAGTGCAGAAGAGGTCAGAGCTTCTCAAAATTTCATTGATGATTGCAATGCACTTCTGAAGATATACATCTACTATGTTATTTTAACTAGCTTAAACCAAGTCAAAAATTTTTGTTTTGCAAGCAATTGCTAATTACACTAGTTAGCAGAAAACAAATAAGAATACTAAAGAATTTACAGACTTTAATAGAAGAATATCCTGAAATTAACAGAAGACTTGATAAAAAGGAATTTAATGTGTCAAGAAAATTTGACGATAGCAGAGAATTCTGAAGCAATAATTAACTTGATAGTTAACTGGACCACAAGCTGAAGGGGTAAACAGATTTTATCTGTTGATCAAGATTAGACTTATAGCGGCTGGCACTAATACTCCACTAAGTAACCAATGAGCAAAACTCCAATAAACCGCTCAAAAATACTTACATAGGTCCACTGTAAATCCACTAAAACAATATTTACTGGCTAAAAAAAATTTATTTAGTCACATTACTAATTATACAAGTACACAGGTGGTATATAATACTAAATTCCTTTTCTCCATCTAACATTGATAATGTTTTTCCAAATAGAGCAAGTCTTGCTCTTTTCTAGATATCTATATATCCAGAGAAGTAGTACATAATATCTATGCTGTGAGTACATAATATCTTTGAGTAGAGAGTAATATCTTTTTGGATTTTTATTGAACAGCTATATAATTTACATCACCCCTCCTATGTCTGCTGTACTGAATAACCTAAAGATGTATGATTACATGTAGGTGTATGATGACATGTGGGTGTATAATGACATGTAGGTGTATGACCTGTATGATCATTGTGTTACAAAAACACAAATAATTAAATTTATTGTAACTTAAATTTAACTTTAAATTTGAATAAAAATAAACTTAATAATAAGAATATTTAGAATAAAAATAAACTATAACAAAATTGAATTAAAAAAAATAAAAATAAACTATAACAAATTGAATTAAAAATAAATAAAAATAAACTGTAACAAATTGAATTGAAAAAAAATAAAAATAAATTGAGTTAAAAAAATGATGCTTTGTCAAGCTGCTTATAAATTTCGTTTCTTTTTTTTTGTGGAATTTTTACATTTTGCAGTACAACATGGACATTTATATGTCCATGTTGTACAGCAAAATGTGAACATTTTTTTTATTAGGAAATGATTGTAACAATTATGCTTACATTTCCAGTAGGATGGCACAATGTATGAAACATGTTGTACAACTCATTTTTTGATTTCGATAAAAGTTTAAAACGGAACATAATGATGAGCTAAAAAACACAAAATGTTAATTACTATAAAAAAAAGATTTTGTAAAATTTTCATGTTTTTGAATTAACTAATAAGCTAACCTCTTGGTCCCAAGCCTTGCGGTCCCAAATACATATTTCACTATCAAGTTTAAGTATTTTTTGAATTTCCTAAACATATTAAAAATATTTTAATTTTTTTTTTTTTTAAAAAAATTAATTATTTAGTTTATTACTTTAATTCTTATGCAACAAATAAAACAATTTAACTATATAAAGGTTTTATAAGTTGAAAAAAAAATTAGATTCAAATATTTAAAATAATTTTTTAAAACTAACAAAAAGGAAACAGATAAAGAATAACTCAAACAAAAAACAAATAGAACTTAATTCTTACATTTAACATATTTTCAAGATTAATAATTTTTTCTTTGGTAACTTTTGTTGTTGCTAACAGTTTTTTGTTTAAAGTTTTGTGAAACAGCTATGAAATAAGAATACAAATAAAAAAAGAAAAAAAAAGTAACAATTAAAAAAAAAAAAAAAAAAAAATGAACAAACGAAATTTACCTCGTAAATTCGGTTAAAAAACTCTCGCACAAACTTTTGCAAACATACAGCATACATACTGTGCTTTAAGAGATTTATTTGATCAGATAAAAAATGTAAGAAAGTTTTTTCATTAATTGACTCTTTTGAACAATTTAAACTCTCATTAAACAAACAGAGGAACATTTCTTCTACCTTGAAAAACAAAATTAAATAAAAAAACAGATTACACTGTAATTTTATGATTTTGTTGATTTGATTTAATAGAACGATAATTTAAATATTTTAATGATTGATTTGTCATATAAATACAGTATATATTCTAAAAACAAAATGTTTTGAAAAAATCACTGGTTTTCTAAGAAAAACTGTAAAGGATTATGTTCATTCAATGTTTAAAACTTTGAACAAATCTTTTTTCGAGAAAGTTTTATATTCTAACTTTGTAAGCTTTTTCCAGTTATCATGCACTTTAATAATAATTTCAACTTTTTCTTGTTTGCAAGGATCGTTTAGCTTTATCTCAATAAGCTTTAACAGTTTTAACTGTTAAAATAAATATGTTAAAATAAATAACATATATACAACAAAAAAACATATATACAAAAACAACAACATATATATGACAAAAACATATATACAACAACAAAAAAACAGAAATTATATTAAAATACATTATTCAAAAACAAATTTTGAAATATATTGAAAAATATAACAACAACTGATAATCAATACTTTATTTTTCTACTTTTCAACAAAAAAAAACAAAAAAAACAGACAATTAAATTAAAGAGTTAAATTTTCAAAAAAAATAAAATGAATTAAAGTACTTTATTTTAAACACACACACACACACACACACACACACACACACACACACACACACACAAAAAAAAGTTAAAATTAACTTAATATGGTTACTATTGTTAAAAAAGTTTAATGACTTATGAAAAAATTTTATATGATTAATCAATTCAATAATAGGAAAATTATTAAATTGATTGACATGATGATTGACATGATGATTGACATGATGATTGACATGATGATTGACATGATGATTGACATGATGATTGACATGATGATTGACATGATGACTGACATGATGATTGACTCTTTTTGTTATCTCCTAATGAGAGTATAGTTTTAAAATACAATTTAATGGTTCTTAGGCCAGCTGATAGTAAGGTTTCTGAACTCTGTGGTAGCACTTGGACAGGCTGATTCCATCAAAAGATGTAAAATATTACTAACATATTGCACATGGGTACACACCACTATTAACATATTGCACATGGATAATGTCCACATAAGGAACCCAAATAATATAAGATAAGGCCACATAAGGAACCCAAAGTCACGAATTTGGTTAATTAGCAGGGCCAAGACAACTGCATAGCTCATTGCTTGGGATGCTATATTCTTAAGAATATTTAAGATTAATTCAAGTTATTTTAAACATAAACCGTGTTAAAAGTAACCAATATAATTAAGTATAAAAACCATCACCACCACCTAACTGCTTCAATATATCTTTCACAAATATATGTGGTCTTTGAAGTAATTTTCCATAAGTAAAGTCTTACCTGTATTCATCAGACTTTCTTGCTCATTGTGAAACTAATTTAAATTCAATTGTTCCTTCTTCAGATCTCAGCTACTATCATTTGAAGGCTCCAATAGTCACATGCTTGGCTTGAAATGCCTCAAGAAATCAAGTTTGAATTATCTGACCATGTTTTTATGTGCACCTCTTCACTCCATCACCTTTCTGTTTGTTTTTTATTATTCTGCTTCTTCTCAAGACTGCCAAACTGGAATTCTTTCTGTAATTTTTTTTTGAAATGGCCCATGGGTTGATGTCTTCTCTCTTAAAACTAACTTCCTGGATCCAGGCAAATATGGAAGCTTTTATTCCTTCCCATCGGTTCCAAGTCAAGTCATATTCTACAAAAGAACAACACTCTTGAAAGCAAATGCTTTTTTATTATTGCAAGCAATCAAAGTAAAAATATGCTGCCTGATGCTAAGCTCCATTATTTTTCAGAAGTTAAGCTCTAGAGACTTATAGAAGCAGTGTCATTAAAAATAGTAACATTCTATCTCTAATTCATGAGTCGGATTTTATTATGTCTAATTATCCAGATTCTGTTCTGCCAGGCAAAATACACGCAATAAAGACTAAAGACTCATATTACATTTTAATGATTAAATACTGAGTAACTTATATATAAATATACATAAACAAATAAATTTTAAAAAAATGCAAAAAATATGCATCAAAGGACTAGCCCAAGCTGTTCAGCCCAAGGGTAATAAGGAAAAAGTTAGGAAGAGAGAAAGGATAAAAAAAGTAAAAAGATATTTGAACAGATGTTCAGAACAAAAATAATAATAGAATATAAGCACTGCAAATCTAATAGAAACAATAAACTCATATTGTAGTATGCTAATGGTGGAAATTGAAACATGAACTTTTAGTTTATGAGGGCGATGGTCTAAGCAATCATGCTATACAAGTTGACGCATTACGCAAAATAAATTTTTATATTCAAATTTTTTTATCTCAAAAATAAAACTAACAGCTTCTAAAAATATCAAATGAAAATAAGAAACAATAAATATGAAATTAGGCTAAACAAAACAATAACAAAGCACACAAATATGCATAGTTATATATATATATATATATATATATATATATATATATATATATATATATATATATATAAACATTAAATTTATTTTATTAAATTTGTTTAAAGAAAGTAAAATTTATAAGAAAACAATACAACTTTTCCAAAATGTCAATGATAAAAATACTTCAATATTTTTTATCATGATGTGTTTTATCTGTTTATAATAAAAATATTCCAGAAATCTTTAATAACTTACTCTTGAAACAAGCAACATTATTTGTACTTTTAAAACACGTTTTAAGTGTTTTTTACAATCCATTAACTCTGGACACATAATAATTGAATAATCAACTAGAAAACAAAAATCAAATTGTTAGATATCATTGTTAAAAATAAATAAATAGAAGAGATGAAAAGTATCCTCTATTTCAAAAGAATCTTCTAACAATTATGAACATTAAAATATTCATATTTTGACATCAATAGGTATTCAGATATCAAGAACTAGTCTATTAGTTAATATGTCCAAAAAATTTTACGATAATGTTAGATATTTCACAAATGTTTATCTAATAAAGAAAGTATTTAAATAAAAAAAAAATGTATTAAAAAAAAAAATACGTGGTGTTTTGCATGGAGCTTCAAAACAATATTTCATAAAATATTCATCATATTCTTTAGCTTGCATAACATTTGAAGAAATATTGAATGAATTAGAAAACTCATTTTGTATTATAGGAAGAACACATAAAAGACTGTATACATTGTTGATTCTATAACACATCTAAAAACATAAGACTATATAAATTGATTATTTGATAACACATCTAAAAACAAGCCCAATTAGTCTTTTTAAACCCTTTAATTTTTTTTAACTTTTTGGTTTTTAAAAATAAATTTTTTTTAATATTTAGAAAATGTAAATATATATATATATATTATATATATATATATATATATATATATATATATATATATATAAATATATATATATAAATATATATATATATATATATATATATAATATATATATATATATATATATATATATATATATATATATATATATATATATATATATGTATATATCGTGCTCGAAGTGGTGAAAAAAAAGTAATAGGATGGTATTTAGTAAATTAAAAATAACATCCTGCCTTATCATTGTTATATAGAGAGATTTATAAAAAGGTACCAATATGGTTTATACTTTATAAAAAGGTGACAGGATGGCATCCGGCCACATCCGGCCACTTCGAGCACTGTATACATTTAACTTAAACTGCTTGTTTAGATAAGATGTCAAACTGAAACAGCCTGTTGCCAGGCGTTTCAGTACATACATCAACTGATAAATAGCTGACTCACAGTAAAGTGCTATTAGCTAGACTCACAGTAGAGTGCTATTAACTAGAGGGTTTGGCATGGTTTGGTTTGGGGCAGCAATCTATTTTTTAATTATTCTTTGTTCTTTTCTTCTTTTTCTAAAAACACGATATGCTATAAAGATAAACAAAACTAGAGAACAAATGCTTATCTAAATAGGCTATAAAAGCATATATATATATATATATATATATATATATATATATATATATATATATATATATATATATATATATATATATATATATATATATATATATATATATATATATATATATATATATATATATATATATATACATATATATATATATATATATATATATATATATATATATATATATATATATATATATATATATATATATATATATATATATATATATATATATATATATATATATTTGTACTTCTTTTTATTTCATCATCTAGGTATGAGATCTATGTTAAATTTTATTTTTTCACGTTTATAAAAAAATAAAAAATACTTTTATAAAATCACACCATTGTTCAAGTATTTTATTTAACTGTATTATAAGAAATTATAAAAAAAAAATGTTATCACCTTTTCTTAACCCATTTTAAGGAAATCATCACAAAAACCTTCCAATCTCATTTCAAGATTTTTTTATAAGTACAAGCTGTCATTATTGTCTTTGGTCTATAAGAATCACAAACTTGGAATACTTTAAAACACCATACTGTTCAGTATGGAAATAAATCTATTAAATATCAAAGTTTTAGCTTGTGGCACTAACTACTACCTGATGTAAATTTTCTTACTTCAATCTCTAACTTAAAAAATCTTTTCAATCACTTGTTAGAAAAATACAATTAATTATTTCGACATTTGAAATTTTTTATTGTATTTATCAATTTGTAATGCTTCAGTTTTTCATTCTGCTATTTTTATTATTTTGAAATTGATATATCCATCAGTTTCTGAATTTCTTTCAATCTGCTACATATAATATTTTCTCCTAGTTTTTCATTCTGTTAGTTATATATATATATATATATATATATATATATATATATATATATATATATATATATATACACATATATATATATACACACATATATATATATATATATATATATATATATATATATATATCCTTATAGTGTAGTCGAAAGAGTCTTTTAATGTAAAAAAAGTCTCTTTCGACTACAATTTTAATTACCTCGTCTCTTAAGCTGTATTTGATTGTCGTCGAAATGTCAAAGCAATTAAATTAATGCAGAAGTACAATTTTATTGTTTTTAAAAATTTTTTTAAAAAACCGCAATAATAACGACTAGAAAGTTTTTTTTAATTAGTGGTGTTTTTGTTTTTGTTTTATTAAAAAACATTTTTAAAACATGCGTAAATGTTGCTACATCGACTATCTTATAGCCTGCAGCTACAAGGGAGTGTTTCTACATCGACTATCTTATAGCCTGACTCGCAACGGAGTGCTGCTACATCGACTGACAAATAGCTTGACTCGCAAGGGAGTGCTGCTATATCAACTGACAAATAGCCTGACTCGCAAGGGAGTGCTGCTACAACCACTGACAAATAGCCTGACTCGCAAGGGAGTGCTGCTACATCGACTGAGGGTTTGGTTTGGGCAGGCAGTCTATCATTTTGTGAAATCAAAAATTTAATTTTTTAAACTTTTTCTGGTCTGGTTTATTAACGCGCTCTTTAAAACTACAGTTTATGGGAAACTCTTTTTGACTACCATGCAAGAGTATATAAATATATATATATATATATATATATATATATATATATATATATATATATATATATATATATATATATATATGTATATAAACAGTATAATTTCCAAAGATATCTTAAGGGTTATTTTTGTAGCCTGATATATCTAATTTTAGATTATGTTTTGTTTTATTGCAAAAGATTATGGAAATGGTCAGCCCTACCCATTTAAATACATGCTGTGTATATTTAAGAGGTGGTGGTGGTGGTGGTTTGGGGAAGGGAAATTATGTTGTTGAGTAAAAAAAAATCTGCAATTTTCAAAACTTTCATTTTAGTGTAAATAAAAATAATCTCAACAAGCAAGCTTTTCTTGTTGGAAAAAGAATTGGAACAATACCAATCACACAATTTCTAACTAAAAAAACTGTATTGCAATTTTACCGCTACAGAGATCTTATGTTAAGAGCAAATTTGGTTTTAAAATGAGAAAATTTTTCAAGAATGCTAGAGGAGGTATTTGATGTCAAAACAATTGTGAAGATATTATTATGAAAGATAAAACTAAAGATTTCAAAACTAGAAAAGAAGATGAAGATTTTTTTAATGACTAGAAAGGAACGCATGTTTAGATAATGTTAGGTTAAGATAAAATTTCACAAAAAATTGTAAAAAAATAAAACAAAATAAAAAATGGAAGAACAAAAGAGTCCATGATTAAACAAAAAAAGCTGGTTACTAATTTTTCTAAAAAAAGTATTTTGAGACACAAAAATTAAGATAAGCTGCTTGAAAATTTGAAGATGACTTTATTATAGTATAGGTCTTATCATTTGAACTCAAAAATTATGGTAGAAATGAAAGAACTTGGTAAAGAAAAAGTTGAAAGAGTAGTAGTGCTAATCAGTTCACCAGATCTTTCAGAATCCCAAATTTTGGCTTTTTTAATAGTGAAAGATGGCGCTGCTTAGTCTCTTGGAAAAGCAATCTAAAAAACTTTCAAAGACTGGGAGCTATTTGACTATGTTGATTATCTGTCCTTTTTCACCACAGTCACAAATACTGGTTGGCTAAAAAGGAGTCTGTACTCTAATTGTGCGGTGGAAAGGAAAAGGTGTGCTTTGGATGGCTTGTCGTCATCATGTCTATGAATTACATATAAAGGTAAATATTGAAAAAATCATAAAACATTTTTATATTTATTTTTATATTTAATTGTGAATCTTTCTCGATGAATTAAATAATTCACCCTATTATTAAAATTTAGTTAAATGATTTGAAATAAATATATTTCAGCGCTTTTCGGGTGTTCTTACGGGTGGTAAAACAAGTGGACCAAAGACTGAGCAATTTGAAAGGCTGAAATGTAATTAGAAATCGATTTTTGATATAAAGATAACTTATGATAACTATATTTTTTTGTTATAATTGGTTTAAAAAGTATCCTCATAACAGAAGTAAGGAAATCTTAAAGGTTAATCATTTTTTGAAGGATGAAACATTGTAAATCTTTATACCATTTATATAAATACCATTTAAGTATACTAACAATTATAACAGTTTGAATATAGTTACTAATAACAACAGTTTGAGTTATTTTGTAACTAAAACTGTTTTAATTAGTACTTTTGATAATTTTTACATTGTTATAATTCATATAAGTATAAATCGACTATTAATAACCAAAAAAGAGACCTGGCTAAACTACTTCACCCATATAGATTATAATAATTTTTTTTTGCCTATGTATATATTGCTTATTTTTTTTTTTTTTTTTTATTTGCATTCACTCCCAACAAGGCCTATTTACTTTGTAAGTACAAAAAAGTTGTAACAGTTGGGAAGATAGATTTAACATACTACATAACATACTAACATAACATACTAACATAACATACTAACATAACATACTAACATATCGTACTAACATAACATACTAACATAACATACTAACATACCTAATCATTCTATTAGTAAGATCGCAGACCAATATCAGGTCAGGTCAGGTCAGGTTTTCCTGCTACTGGTAACATGTAACCCAGTACAACCTGCTCCATGTCCTGCTGCCTTGTAGGATACGCTTTTTTAGGCAAAGGCTAGGAGAAGTTAACTCCGAATTAAAACACCCCCTGCCTTGGAGCTCTTGGTTGAGTAAAGGCTAGAGATGGTGTCTCGATAAAAATACTCATCTTGGGCAGATGTTACATGCATCCAGCTGCTGTCTTGTAGAAGGCCTCCTAGGCAAAGACTTAAGGGGTAAACAGATTCTATCTGTTGACCAGCCTCGCACCCCTTCCTCATCTATTAGGCTGGCGCAGATGTATTTTTAATACATTGTTTCCAGTTTAGGATGATGAACGCTGGATCTTCTTGACTCAATGCGTGGGTATTGCTTGTGTCTCTATTTTTATGACTGGGCAACTCATTCTATTATCTCCTAATGAGGGTACAGCTCTAAAACTCAGTTTTATGGTTCTGAGGCCGGCTGGTAGTCAGGTTTCCCGAACTCTGTGGTAGCTCTCAGAGAGGCTGATTCCATCAACAGCCGAAAAATATCAGAGTACTAACAGTGCCATGTTGCGCATGGATGGTGTCCCTGTTTGTACTTTTGGTGTGCATTGCCAAGGCCACATTTGGAGCCCTTTGTTACGGCTTAGGGTTTATTAATAGTAATGAGGCTATTGCTTAGTTGTTAAATAGTGTACTGAGTACTATCTATACTTGAGTCAAGTTCTTTATAAATTTAAAATGACTAAAGTACCTAAAACTAAAAAACACAAAAAACCATCGTCATCACCAAGTTCTCTAAACCTATCATTTACTAATATTCGTGGTCTTCGAAGTAACTTTTCTTCTGTTGAGTCTTATCTCTTGCAAAGTTCACCAGACCTACTTGCTCTTTGTGAGACTAATTTGAGTTCGGCTGTCCCATCTTGTGATCTTAGTGTTGATGGTCATCTTCCTTTAATTCGTAAAGACTCCAATAATCACATGCTTGGCCTGGGCATCTACATTCGTAAGAACTCACCCATTTGTCGTGAAACTAGGTTTGAATCTACAGACTATTCATTTATGTGCTTTCGTTTAGCACAACTTCACTCTATCGCCTTTCTCTTTGTTCTATATCGCTCTCCTTCATCCCAAGATTGCACTATTCTTGATGTTATTTCTGATCAAATTGACCAAGCCCTCTCTCTTTATCCATCGGCCAATATCGTCGTTGTTGGTGACTTTAATGCCCATCACACCAATTGGCTTGGCTCTAGTGTCAGTGACTCTGCTGGCGTTAAGGCCCTCAACTTTTGCCTTTCTCAATCTCTAACTCAAATAGTCAACTTTCCAACTCGTTTTCCAGACAACCCTAATCATTTACCTTCTCTACTCGACTTATGTCTTGTTTTGGATCCTAGTCAGTGCTCAATTTCTCCACATTCACCCTTAGGTACTTCTGATCACGGTTTGATCTCTCTAAAACTATTATCAAATTCTTCTACTTCATCAGAATCCCCCTATCATGGTACCACATACAACTACCTTAAAGCTGACTGGGACTCTTTCCGTGATTTTCTTCGTGATGGCCCTTGGGTAGAAATCTTTCGTCTTCCTGCTGACAAATGTGCTTCTTACATAACTTCGTGGATTCAGGCTGGCATGGAATCTTTTATTCCCTCTCGACAATTCCAGGTCAAGCCTCACTCTTCTCCTTGGTTTTCCTCACATTGCGCTGCAGCAATTTCTAATCAAAACCGTTACTTCCATATCTATCAGCAAAACAATTCTCCAGAAAACAGACATCTGTTCACTATCGCCAGAAACCATTGTAAAAAGGTTTTGTCTGACGCCAAAGCTCGCTATTCCCAGGTCATTAAATCTCGTATCTCATCACAAAAATTAGGCTCTCGAGACTTCTGGAGAATCTTTAACAGTATCAATAATAAGGGCAAATCTGTTATTCCTTCTCTCTTGTATGGTTCAGACTTTGTCACCTCACCTAAAGACAAAGCTGAATTGTTTGCTAAGAACTTTTCATCAATATCATCTCTTGATTCCACTAGTTGCGTTTTACCTGACATAGCCGTCAAACAGGTTGATCCCTTGCTTGACATTCGCATCACTAAAGCTTCTGTATCTAAAGTAATTTCCTGCTTAGACTCTTCAACAGCTTGTGGTCCTGACAACATTCCTGTTGTAGTCTTGCAGAGGTGTTCTCCAGAGCTTTCATCTATACTTTCTAAACTATTTAACAAGTGCTTATCAGAGTCTTGTTTTTCATCATGCTGGAAAGCAGCATCTGTTATCCCTATTTTCAAAAATTCCGGAGAGCAATCTGATTCATCTAACTACCGTCCCATTAGTCTTCTTCCTGTCATAAGCAAGGTTTTTGAATCTTTAATCAACAAACACTTAATCTCTCATCTTGAATCAAATAACTTACTTTCTGATCATCAATATGGATTTCGGTCTTCTCGTTCTACAGCTGATGTGCTAACAGTAATAACCGATAGGTTTTACCGTGTATTAGATAGAAGTGGAGAGGTTAAGGCTATCGCACTTGACATTTCTAAAGCTTTTGATAAAGTTTGGCATGCTGGTCTTCTCCATAAGCTTTCTTCTTATGGTGTAGCTGGTAACGTCTTTAAGATTATTGAGTCCTTTCTTTCCAATCGTAGTATAAAAGTTGTCCTCGATGGACAACACTCTTCTTCACATCCTGTAACTTCAGGGGTTCCTCAAGGTTTAATCCTTGGCCCTATACTCTTTTTAATTTACATTAACGATCTTCCAGATATTCTCACATCTAAGGTGGCATTATTCGCTGATGACACTACCATTTACTCTTGTCATGATAAGAAGCCTACACTCTCTGATTGCTTGGAGGGGGTATCTGAGCTTGAAAAGGATCTCACTTCTGCTACAGCATGGGGCTCACAGTGGCTGGTGAACTTTAATTCAGATAAAACTCAATTTTATTCGGCCAATCGTTATCGTAATAATTTAGATCTTCCTATATTTATGAATGGTAATGTACTAGATGAGTCATCTACCATTCATCTTCTAGGATTAACTCTTACTTCTGATCTTTCTTTTAAACCGTATATCAAATCCATTGCAAAATTAGCATCTGCTAAGGTTGCATTTCTTTATCGAGCTCGACACTTTCTTACTCCAGATTTTCTACAAATACTATAATGGGCACTGCTCTAAAGAGCTAGCGTCCCTTGTGCCATCTACTAAAATTCATTCTCGTGTTACTCGCCATTCAATTAAGTCTCATCCTTTTTCTGTGACTGTTCCTAAGTGCTTCAAAAACTCTTATTCTTCTAGTTTTTTTCTTCGAACATCAGTTCTTTGGAATTCGCTTCCTTCATCTTGCTTTCCTGATTCATATAATTTGCAATCTTTTAAGTCATCAGTCAATCGTTATCTTGCTCTACAGATTTAGTCTTCTCTCTTCCAGTAACTTCCAACTCTTATAGTGGTTGCTTGCAGCCTTGTTGGAAGTGAAGATGTTAAAAAAAAAAAAAAAAAAAAAAAAAAAATGTAACCATTTTATTTTTA